TCAGTCTCGTAACTGATCCTGTACTGCATCTCTGCCAGGTCAGCTTATCACTAATGGAACTGAGACTAACAAGCAGTAAGTAAAATTAATTCAAGACAAAAGTCAGAAACCGAANGCAAGCCAGTCAAGGAAAAATATCGCGTCCTATCGATTTTCGGGAGGCGAGGTGAGTACGGTAATTGCAGTGACATTTGCCGCATGCCGCAAGGGAGAATGCCGCGATAGGGGAGAAGTTCCGTTACCCGGTTTCAACCAGGAGTGGTGTTTTCTGGGCCCATGGAGGGGAGAAGCAACTATAATACTGTCCTCATGCAAAAAGCTAGAAAAGGAATTGATCAACAGTGTATTATTTTATATATGGCTAAGCACAGACAAAGGTGCAAAAATGCGTTCCCCCGTTTCCCATGAAAGATTGACACAAAAACCGAGTTTTTACAATAATCCGGCTGCGGGGATGGACAGTTACCTGGTGGCGATGAAACACTGCAAGGCAATTACAACCATTCCCCACCCAGTTACTCCTCCAAAGACCATTTTACCGATGTGCAATATATGTAACGGGATTAGGATATGAACATTCAGATGCTGTTATGCCGTGAAATAAAACATGATGCCCGTGAAGTTTTGCGTATGTTACATTTTATTCCACCATAAGAGTCTTGCATTTAAAAATGCAATTTAAAAAAATGGCGTCTTTAAAAACTGGTATTCTGCAAGCGTTGTTTATCTTTCAAAGTAAGTAAACACTTGTGAAACAAGAAATAATGAATTGATTGAAAAATTGGTTCGTCGTAAATAAAGATGATATCAACAAAAGAGGCATTCCCACTGAAAAAGCCTATAAATTTTTACAAAAAAAAAATTGGAGTGCTTACTTTTCTTTAAAAAAAAGAGCACAATGTAAGGGATGGGTAAAAACGACCTCGTTTCCGGAATTTGTGCCAAAATAAATTCCCGAAATCTTTGGTTTATTCAAGAGAGTGAGCACGTAGCCCACTACAGTCGGTTGTCTGCACGACATTGGGGAGCTCCCTTAACTTTTCCCAGATAACCTTGATGAGGAGTAATGCGTACAAGTTATTCCAGCCATTACTTATGACCTTACAATCAATGGACTCCGTTTTAGTTTCTCTTTCATCTCATTCCTTCTCTCTCACATTTTTTTGGTGGTGTATTGATTGGAAGTGAAAAAACAAACAGGCAAGTATAAAGGTAACACAATAAACTGCACGCTCTCTGAGACATTTGTGAAAGTACAGTAAGAATAAATTGATTCCCGATTCCAGAAAAACAGCCTCCCACACTCGCTAAACAGCGCTCCACCCACCTCGGCATCCGTTGTCGTGTACTTTTTCCGTTCGATTGGTTCGACAGCCATTACGCGAAGTTTCTTTCGACTTTGCTTATCATCCAGAACATCCTGATGGAATGCCGTCATATGTCCCCACATACTTTTTGTACTGCTATCACCACGTTTCAGTACTTTCCAACAGTACACACATTCCACGTTCTGATTCTCATTCAGGAGACGATAATGATCCCAAATCTCGGATGATTTCTTGCATGTTTTCGCGCTCTTCTGTCCTTTCTTCTTTACATCGTTCGACGACGAGTCGAACGGATTCAGAAGCGATGACAGGACGTCGACCGCCATCACGTCATCGGCCATTGACGACGTCGATGGAGACGCGTCCATCGAATACAGGGAGGACAGAAGTAGCGACAGACTAAACCGTGCTCGATAAGAAAGGATAAAGGAGCGAACAGACGGAAACAATTTGCGACGAAACACGACAGTAAACGACCATATGGCTTATCCAGGAGAAGTCTTAAAATGCAATAAAATGCAATATGATCTACTGGACAGGAGAAACATTTCACGACAATCAAAAATTGGACCAGCAAAACAGCCGGAGTAAGCAAGGACGAAGATGTAAGAGAATGTGGTCCCACGTAGAAAAGCCTCGTCGTAACACCTCTCTACTATAGGAGTAAAGTTACGCAGCTTGCTCAAGAGGCTATGCATCAAAACCCCTTCAAGTCTTGAATTGAATCAGAGTTTTCCTTGAACCATGGATCAAAATTTTCAAAGTCCATCAAATAAATTCTCGGCAAGAGCCTCCCGAAACGCAGAAAAAGCTATATTAAGCTGGAATGGGTATTGAAAAAGAGTCGAGAGTGTAAAACTTCTCGGATTCTTCTTGGTAGCCCCAAATTTTGCTGATTCGGGCGACCTACAGGACCGTCTAATCGGTTTTTTTGCTCATTTTTAGACATAATCTTCCCCACTAAGTAATCTCCATGGCTATTTTGATGCTTTTATGGAGAATGGGCTCTTTTTTGACAGAGCCTTTGGAAATGTAAGCAATGAAAACACATGACAAGTAGGTATGCAGAGGAAGATTGAATGAATCGACCGGTAGGGTCAGAAATAACGATCACCGGTAAACCAACAACACCAAGTGGCTGAGTGATCATGAGTAGGAAGGAATTCAGCGGGAAATCATGAGAAGTGAAGTTGAATGGGCGTCGACGGCGGTTAAAACACGGATAGACGGGGAGCGGGGGTGCGCCATTGCCAGTCGAGCGGCCATCGAATACTGAAAGACGGGGAAACCCGGCGACAGAGAGCAGGGGGACCGTGGACGAGCGAGAGACATGGCAAAACGAAGGGGACACATACGAATGGAGAGCGGCACAGAGACGGCGGGGCCGACACAGCATGGCCACGATGGAGAGCATGTGAGAACGAGAGTGAGAGAGCGAGACGGGGTCGGAGGCCCCGATGAAGTCACACACGGGTGGTGGGCCGCGAATCGATAGGCAGGGGTCCCGCCCGACCGAACGGGCGGAGCTCAAGGTTGGACGGGGGACGTGGTGGACGGGGACGATGCGGCTGGTAGCTGACGACGGGCGGGGATGGGGCCGACGATGGTGGTCTGACATCGAATTGAGCTATCTTAGGGGATCAATCGACGTTTGTTCTACCATCCAGGGTGGCCCATCTGGGAGGGGTCAAATACCCATACATTCCAAAAAATACCATATGTAGAGTGTTTGAGGAATGACTTGATCCATTGATTCCCCAACGATCGATCGATCGAGACTCAGTGGGCATTTCCGAGCTTTAAAAACGCTGTTGCGCCTTTAGCCGTGGGTAGTTGGCACAGCATGGAACTGGCCACACGAAAAATATGACGGCCAGGCGAGTCAAGCCGTGACGCAGGTCAGAAACTCGTGACAGGAAATAACCAGGGACAGCTGAAGCCTCTTCCCCAGGACTTCTGGTTTTTCCCACTTACTTGTGTAACATTCCCGTAAGATATTTATGAATAGCCTTTTGTATGACAGAAAATAAAAAGAACCAGGGGTTTATGTGACCGAAAGTTGCACTTGGCCCTGGATTGTGTGAAGAACGAGAATTCATGGGCACTGGATTTTTTGTTAGCCACCATAATCTCCCATAGGAGTGGGACCCTTATGGTTTACTTGGACCTTCATATCGTAGCCATTAATCTAGCACATTCTTGGCAGAATCTCAGCTCCATGATTGAACTAGAAAGTTGGAAATTCATTGGTAAAAGTGTTTTTGATAAAATGATTTAGCCATTGATCGATCCCATCTGAGTACGCGCCATGCATTAGGTTCATCCTTTCCAGAATGGGCGAGATTGGAAGGAGTCTATGTAATGAAAATGGTTTAAGAGTACCATATAAACCTGGTAGACAATCTGAACCATTAAACCACTTAGCCGGTCCTACGGAGGCAGAGATTTGATTTGATAAGCCTACTGCTGCTTACTCGAATGCCATTTCAAACGACACCTTCCGTCCCAACGACATCTCCAATTGCTCCCAATCCATAGATTTAATTGGTAATATGATAATAACTTTACCACACGAATATAAGCCAGGCGGAACTGAATTTAGTCCACCATCCATGACGATTCTATGATGAATTTTTTTGGATTTATGGAATAGAAAATTTAATTTAATAAAGATCTGGATTAATCGCCCTGAGCTGTATGTAAATCAGAATTTTCATACGAAATTCATGCCTCTACAACTGTATACCTTCATTATCTTGGCAAGTATAAGGGTTGGTATACAACTCTCCCCTTCCTCTTGAAGGTTTTATAAGTACCATTTTCCTGTCTACAATCCGTTCAACCGTGCCCACGCCTATTCGACAGAAATCGACATTCTCGTGGCCGAATACCATAAGATACTCACCTGTGCTAGTTTTTCGCTGAATCTGGCGAATACCCCATCAGATGAGTGGAACTTTTTGAGGTGTGTACGTAGATTGTTCGGACTGCGATCATCGCCTTGCCATGAACAGTGCAGACAGATAACTCCGCCCACACCATCTGTAATAGGTAATAGTAAACATTGGTAAAACATTGCAATTTACAACTCCATCTGGGAAGCTTACTAATCTCTTGAAAAGTAAATTCTGCAAAGATCCAAAGATCAAAGGAGCATTCACCTCCTTGAGCAGCTTTCATATTTACACAGTTAATGGCGTTCAGAATGCGCCATGCCCGTCTCCTATCAATAACCAATGAAAGTGCTCACCAGACCTTACAAAACTGACTAGGGAAAACTGCAAATTGCTAAACGACTCCTGCAAGGGCTCCTTCTAAAGGGAGTGAATGTTTAAAGCAAAAATATCGATGGTCATAAGGAAGGCTAAGGAGTTGCCCATGGGTCGGACCTCCTGAAGGGCTTCTTGAAAAGCACTCATTTAGATCCCCACGTCATTCGCTCAGTTTTCACGTGTTGCAACTCTTAATAACTCTCTGTGGAAGCCTGTATCCGTAGTGAAGCCCTTCATATATGATCCAATATCACTACACGAATTTGAGGAGGCAACCTCAAACACAGTTGAATTGTTCTACACCTTCTACTTGTGATAATAAATGAAGATGTCGCCTGAAGCCAATGGAATAGTAGAACGATTAGAAAAAAAGGGAAAAAGCTACAACTCTTCATGAAAAATCTGCTACTTGAGTGGATGCGTCTTCGGTTTTTGAGTGTAGAACTTAAAGCAACAAGCAGAGCAACAACATCGAGATGTGAAGAAGACAATGTTAGCTAATTTTTGTGGGATGGGCCACGTGACTGAGTTACATCAAGGATTTCACACACGTTTGAAAGGCACAATTCACGATAATTTGGGGGCATCTGACCAAAGTGAAATAATGGAATTTATATTTAAGAATCGTGCGGAAAAAAGTGCCGAAGGAAGAATGGAAACTAACGATTTCAAGAAACACATGGCTTCAAAAAGTCGTGGAAGAGGGGGTTGTACGAGATTATGTATCTATGACGGTCTGGGTGTCTCCCACATAAGTGTACTATTGGTAGGCGTCCTAATGTTTTATTTTAAACGGTGCAGCCTTAACAAGACCCGATACCAACTACTTTTGGGTGTGTAGTCGGCCAAGCCGGTTCTGGTGTTCCTACAACATCCTATCGAGGTCGCTTTTCCATCCTACAATGCCCCACATGCTGCCCTTGAATTCCTGTATGTACAACCTAGGTGGAAGCCTCGGAAATCATCTTTTCTGAACTATGCCTTTAACCTGATGCTTTGAATAAGTAGTAGGATGGGCTAAAAATCAAAACGACACTGTGGCTTCCGGCCAGCTGTTTTTCAAAATAAGTGGGGTTGTGTGTGAAGGAGGACCATCTTTTTGATTCCATCTAAGCAGATCCCCAATGACTGCTCCAAGTGTGGGGCCGCTAACTATTCTTTCACAATCACGGCTAGCAAGTAACTTACATAGTGATACAGATTAAGATCAGTGATGTTCAAAAAATTGCTATTAGATTGGGTTGACACGTGCGTCAAACCATTTTTTCGAATGGAATCTCTCTAAAAAGGAAACTCTGAGATTTTAAATCATTTCATGTTCCGTTTGAAAGACATATACCTACACTACAGAAAGATATATTCAACTTAGAGATTAGATTTAGATTGAAAATCAAGCGTGCAAGCAGGTCAGGCCGACTCGGAGAAAGTGGTCACAGCAATAACACAGTTCCCTTATTTTCCATGGCGAGCAATCAACCAGTGATGTACTGTTAAGATAGTTGCGACCATTTAGAACATTTCGTTACCTTGAATCAGAATTGGCATTTCTATCAGTGCTTAAAAGTACTGTGTTGGATTTTGGCCACAGTTTCTACTCGTTGGACAACAAAAGTTGAAAAGTGTCCATGAATAAAGGTATGGGATTGAAAAAAACAACGATTGCTTGTTGATTGAACATCCTATAATCCTTGTCAGGACTCGTCATGTGGACGCTATCAGACTTCGACGACCGCAAGTCCGTCCGTCCGTCCGTTCAATGCGTGCGCGACGGCGGTCGCGTGCGTGTCGCGCCGGCGGTTCTAGAAATGTGTTGACACTGTCTCTTCGGTATTCGGCGCTGCCAACACCCTTCTAGAACCGCCGGCGCGACACTCACGCGCTGAACGGATGGTCGGTCGCTCGTCGTGAAGAATAGTATCGTATAATGAAAAACCCCATGGCTTCGATTTCGGAAAACCTGCGTTAAAGTCCATAGAGTTTGCAGAGTTGGTCCGGTGGGTACTTTCAGACGCCACCGACCGACCGGCGTACATGATTTCCCATCGACAAACCGACAGCGTTCCTTCCCACACGTTGTCAACGCTGGACACCGAAGGATCGCGCGCCTTCACGACTCATGGGTCACTAAACGCGACCTGTCCTGCTCTGTCCTGCGTTGTCAACACGAGGCCAGAAACGGCGTAGGTCGGTAAAATAATGTATGCCGGTGAAGTTTTAAAGCTCACAGTGAAACAATCGGAAGGGGTCCTATGTGAGTAAACGGTACATCACTAGTTGATTTCTTGCAGTAGAGAATGGAATTCAATTAGCAGCTGTTTTGACCAATTTTCATCGGTTCATAGTCCCTCTCAGATAAACCTGAAACACAACCTTAACCATAATCATTCGTGGAGCAGAAAATACAATTTTCTAGGTAGATAATTTTTCGAATAGTATCTGACGTGTTTGAAAGAGAAAAATCCTATAGAAAAAGTTCATTTTAAAATAACAATGATACGTCCAGCGACACTGGACGTTATGATTTCCGACTCTTTTCATTCTGATCAGTCTCGTAACTGATCCTGTACTGCATCTCTGCCAGCTTATCACTAATGGAACTGAGACTAACAAGCACTAAGTAAAATTAATTCAAGACAAAAGTCAGAAACCGAAATGCCTCCTGTGACCTGGAAACATTTATAAAATCGCTTGTTGCAAAACCAAGCAGTTTTACCATTATCATCTAAAACGCTGTGTATTTGAGGGCATAGT